TGACTTGTGTGCAAAATTTGAGGTCAATCGGACTTGATTCGATAGGTTTCGGCATCGAATGTAAAAGTTGAAAATTTCATAATAGACTAAAGTTTCAAGTGAGTTCGCACAATACGTAACTTCAAATGAGAATAACTCTCATTATATAAAGTGTTATATGGTGTATTACCTATCAAATGAAATATCTTTGAGTCTAGTTTCTAACACTTCAAACCGTTCGTCATTTGGACATTCCTACAAGAGGTTATGACCAAATTAACAAAGACTCGAAAAATGCGATTCTGCGACCAATTCTGTGATCGCAGAATAGTTATGCGATCGCGAAACTGCTTCTGCGACTGCAAACTGGTCGCAGAATGGACCAGAACAGCCCAGTTCTGGGCACCAAATTTTTCGACCATTGTGCGGCCCGCATACCCATTCTGCGGTCCATTCTGCGACCGCAGACCTGCTTTCGGAGGGTTAATCTTTCTATTTTCATAACCCCGTCCCCATTTTAATAAATAGCCTTTGTGGTTTTTTTTTAAGGGTTTTAGAGAGAGGTAAGAGCATTTTAGAGAGAGAAGAAGGGAACCTAGCATTCTAATCATCCAATCTTCAATAATCAAGGAAGCGAATCACAAGATCTTCATCTAAGAGGTAAGATTCAACCCCTAGTCTTCAAATTTCGAGTTTGGGGTAAAAGGTTGGTGATTGGGAGTATGATTCTTAGATGTAAGAGTATTATATATATATGCTTGTACCAATAAGGTTTGTGGGAAGATTGTTGAGATCAAATAAGTAAATATTGGATTGTGGAATGAAGGAAATCTTGCAGAAGAACCTTGTAACCAAATTTGCATACCTAGTGTTTGATAAAATGCTCAAATAAGCTGAAACCATGAAATTCTTCCTGATTATGGTTCACTTTTATTATGTTTCTAAATAGATTGAAGTTTCTAGGATTTTCGGAACCTCGTAGTAATGTAAGGAAGGCTCAATAAAGATTGGAGCCGTCCGAAGGTCAATTCACGTGAGAAAGCTATTTTGGAATATCGGCCTAAGTTCAAAAAGGTAAGTATCTTGCCTAACCTTGAGTGAGAGAATTATCCCTTAGGCATCAAGTCTTATGTGCCATTTGTGAAATGTGAAAAGCTGTGTACGCGAGGTGATGAGTACGTACTCGCGCTTATATGTGAAAATTTTACTGAGTTAAAATCTTGAGCATATTGTGTAGTAAATTGGATAATTGTTGGCATTTATTTAATCATCTATTTTTCATACCTCAATTCGCATTTATTGAATTTGTTTTTATATGACTATTTGATGTGAATGTTACTTGTATATTTATTTGAATTCCGTGAGTTTGATAGTTTGATATTTCTTGAAATTTAATTTCATTATAAATTTTCCTCTACAAATAATAAATTAAATGAGCTTAAGAAGATGTGTTTATATAATTATTGAGAATTTGGATTAATGAAGGCGTTGCCATATGCTGAGTAATTTCTATCTCTGTTGATTGTTTTTGAGGTCGTATACACATTGTGTGGAGCCTTCGGCTATTTGTTGTAAAATTAATTGATTTGTTATATCTTTGAAATTGGTTGTGGCCATTGGGCAAATTGTGTTATGAATTGATTTTGTTATGTTGTCGTGATAATATTCTGTGTATATTGTTGAGTTAGTATTTTGAGGATATAAGGGTGGCATTTCACTGTTGATATTATATGGGTATAAGGGTGGCATTTCACTTTTGTTATGTGTGTTGGGATATTGTCTGGACGGAGCGATAAGGGTGGCTATAGGAGAGATAAGGGTGGCTATAGGAGAGATAAGGGTGGCTATTGATATTGTCAGGGCGGAGGGATAAGGGAGGCTATTATAGGAGTGATAAGGGTGGCTATAGGAAAGATAAAGGTGGCTATTGTCAGGGATGATATGTGATGATGTGGAGTGGTTGCATTGGTGATTTTATGTGATGTTGTGATTTTTCTTGTGTTTATTTTTATACCTTGTGCAATTTGTCTTGTTGTTGGTAAATTGATAATAGTCTGATTTATGTTGAAATTGGGAGCCTGTGGCTATTGCCAGACGGTTGTGATAAAGAAATGTGGGCACGAGGTGCCGTGAGTAAATAATGATGATTTTGGCACGTGAATTGTTCGTGCAGTTGGGATATGAAACGTGGGCATGAAGTGCCGGAGAAAATATGATGGCTTTATTATTGGCACGTGAACTGTCCGTACAGATGTGATATGAAAAATGGGTACGAGGTGCCGGGGAAATATGAAGATTTAATTATGGGCACGAAGTGCCGTGAAAATATGAAAGTGGGATGAGACCCGTGTTTATAAAAAATATAAAAATGGCTGAGACCCGTATTTTTATGATTATGAAATGAGGTGTCACATGGTGACTTTTAATTGAAAGAATTATATTCAAAATATTTATTTGGAAGGATTTTTATTCAAAAAGTAGTATTTGAAGGAATTGTATGTGAAAGATATTTATTTGAGGAAATTATATTTGAAAAAGATTTATTGAAAGAATTATATTTGAAAGATATTTATTTTAAGAAATTATATTTGAAAGAGAGTTATTTGGAAGAATTATATGTGAAAGATATTTATTTGAAGAACTTGATTTAATTGAGTGTACTTGTATTTATTATTTGTTGAGCAATATTAATAGTGTTCTTATTGCCATGCCGGGCATATCACTGGTTGATTTGTGTTGCCCTTATTGTTATTTATTTTCTATTAATTTGTATACTATATTGCGCAGGTTATTAGACTAGTGAGTGTCTTGACTGTACCTCGTCTCTACTGCACTGAGGTTAGTCTTGATACTTACTGGGTACCGACTGTGGTGTACTCATACTACACTTCTGTACATTTTTGTGCAGAGCCAGGCATTGGAGATATCGGACTTCAACAGAGTTAGAGTGGGATCGCAAGAATTCAAGGTAGAGCTCCTTGGTCGTCACAGTTCCTTGGAGTCTTTCCCTTTTATTGTACTGTTATTTATTATTCAAACAATATTGAGTATTCGATCCTTGAGATCATTTCATGTATTCAGTTAGAGTTCGTGACTCAGTATTACCAGTCTTGGGAGGTTGTTATATTTGTAATTATTTCCGCTGTTGGTTAAAAAAAAGACTTGAATTATTATAAAATCGGCTTACCTAGTCTTAGAGACTAAGTGCCATCACGATGCCTGAGGCGGAATTTTGGGTCAAGGGGGGTTAAAAACTTTTTTTAAGGCCGCGAGTTCAATTATCACTAGCCAGTCTTTTTTAACTTTTTCTTTTTCTGAACTCCATTAGCAAAAATTCTGCCTACGCCATCGGGTCTAAGTTGACTAGCTGAAAATTCAACATTGTTCATGGTGACGGTTATGGTGCAATGGTGGTGGAAGGAAAGAAAATTTTAGTGGTAAAAAAAACAAATAGAGGGAAGGCGTCATCAAATATCAATGCCACGTAGGACGAAGGTCCACCTTAGACCAATTTAGCGAAAGTGAGGTATATTTGAACCAATCATATTACGGCAGGAGTATATGTGAGCCTAATGTATAACGAAGAGTATATATAAACTTTTTCTCATAGTACATGGTTATATTTGGCCCTTTTCTTTTATTTTAATGTGAAAAAGATAATTTTATGACTTTATTTTATATTGAGTAAATTCAATTATCATAACTCAAATTAACCCGAAATATTGAATGGGTAAAAAGAACTTAAAATGTGTAAGGGTATCTAAAATCCCTTGTCTCCAACATTGCAGCCAAATGCTTTTCTATTTGACGTACAATAGGAGAACCATTGATATGTCATGTAACTATTAAGCAATGTTGGAATATTTCTAGCATTTGGTAAAATGAGCAGGCATCTTCTGAAAGCCTGCAATAGTTACATGCAATATTTTTAGTAATCATAAAACAAAATTACAAAAATAGAGACAACATTCAAAACTACTGTTTAGAACTGTATGCTTTTATAAAGGCTAGAAAAAAAACAACTGTACAGTTATATTGTAATCTTACATCATACTCCAATAGCCAGTTGTAAAAATAGCTCAATTTTGCTATCTTTAGTCAAATGTCATGTCCTTGTATGGTAAAGAAATAGCAAAGAGAAAAAGAAGACATCAATCAAAGGAAAGATACAAGAATCCAAGTGAGGATTGGCCAATTCTATTTGAAAAAAGTGGTTTTAGTACTTCAATTATTTGAGAACCTGTTGCTTCAATTTGTCACTACTGTCATTCACACTGAAAATTAATGGAGTCAGCACTACTGTTCTCAATTCGGAAATCAAAGTTTCTTTGTGATGGCCCCTTCTTTTTATTTTTATTTTATAATAATTTCGGTTAGTTTGTGTATACCTCGACTATTATTTGATGTCTATTGTATCCCATTAACACAAATACTAAATAACTCTATCAGCCAAATATTAGACAAAATGACAAGAAACCATTAAGTTTTTTTTTTGTCGCTGTTGAAATTTAAATCCTGATTTTTCATAATTTTTATCCACATTATTGACAGCTAAATAACACATTGGTACATGTTAGTATAGTAGGGGCGGATGTAGCATAATTTCGATGGGTTCAATTGAACCCATAATTTTTGACGCGGTGCATAAATTACAGCAATAAATGGGTATGCATTCATAACTTTAAAAATATTACGGGTTCAATATTAAGAATTTTAAAAGTTGAACCCATTATGTTTAAATTTTGAATTCGCCCCTCCATGTTAGGGTTCACTCTTAGTGCCCGACCAATCTTACATACACCTCAGACTATTTTATTACATATCTAGTACATTTCACCAGCACATCTATCTATCAAAATTTAAGCAAATATTTTTTTTCCTTTTTTAGAATTTGAATCTTGATTTTCACCCGTTTCATTGATTGTTGTGTGACACACCTTATGTACGTGTTGGGCCCGTTTCTAGTTAATAAAGCTCTATTTTTGTGTTTTTTGAAACAACCACAAGTAGAACTATATTGATATACAGAGTGAGACACTACTAAATTCTCCCTAACACTCAAAACACACTTTGGTGTGAAAGGGAGTTTGATTTTTCATGTTGTGAAAGATTGGTGATGGCCTCAACCACTAATATGTCCAACTCAAAAGGACTAAAATTTGCTGTCATTTTGATGTTCATCTATTCACTCACATTCCTTCCTTCTATATCAGGTAAAACAATAGAGGGGGTGACAAAAAACATGAACCTAAGGAGAAACACATCATTATCTTCTTCTCACTCTTTCTTTCAATTTTTTGAAAAAGGTATTTATCCCTTAACCTTCTTTATCTACTAGTCTCATGACAGGTACTTAGAAAGCTCCATATTGCTTATTAATTAAGTGAGTAGTATTTTCTTATAGTATTATTCAGGAAACATCTGTTTTCTACTTAAACTATATATCTAAATCTTTTAGAATAAAGTGTATATTTATACAAAATAAATCCCAATGCAACAACATGATAGTGGATGTAGTGAACTCTACATTCACTAACTTAAAATTCTAAATCCGATTCTAAGGGTTAGGAGCCCTTTGATTGTCAAGGAGAAACTCAACCCCCCTCCAAAACAAAAAAAACTAGAGTATCCATTACTTCACATGGACGTAAAATAATTTAGTTCGATATTGAGTTGAAAATGTTTAATTGTTGTTTTCCTTTCGGTTGAGCCACTACAAAAAAAATCTGGAATTAATTACGAACTTCATTGCTAATCTGTCGTTAAATTGCTCGCAATTAACAAAATCTTTTGATATTCTGTCGCTAAATGATATTAGCAACAGATTTTTTTATTTAGCTACAAAATTCATCGCTAATTCTTGTTTGTCTTATCTGAAAAAATTAAAATTGTTGTTTATAGGGAGAAGTGGAGAAAGGAAGCAAATGAGAATGGTGATGTTGGGATCAAGTCCACCAAAGTGTGTAAATAGGTGCAAAGGCTGCAGACCTTGCATGGCTGTACTTGTCATTCCTCCACATATTACTTCTTCTGGGAAAGTTAGCAAAGCGTTAAATACATTATACACTAGAGAAGATGAAGGCTATTATCTCCTATCATGGAAATGCAAATGTGGAACTAAGTATTTTCAACCTTGAAATCTCATCTAATATTAATTCTTTTTTGCCCTCTTCTAACTTAGGGTAGAAGGTAAAGTTGTAAACAATTTCTTGGTGTTAATGCATTCATTTTATGAACGACTTTTAGTTAGTAACTTTACATGTACATTACAGAACTCTTTATAACAATATTCATATATAATAGTCATTTATTATAAAAGTCATGTTCTTTTCGAACCGATTTTTATATTATGTTATAATATATGTCTTCTATAACAACATTTCACTATAACAGTTAAAAAAATTAGAATAAACGAGAATGTTATAGAGAGGTGTTTGACTGTATATTTCTTTTATGGGAAAAGGGCTAGATATATCCTTCTACTTTTAAATATTGTTTATATTTAACCTCCGTAATACTCTGGGAGCAAAAATACCCTTGCCGTTACCATTCTTATCAAATATGCCCCTATCTCTAACAGAGATCTACTGTTGCAATGACTCAGGCATGAACTGATATTTAGGTGAGGTGGATGACATGTAGCTGCCACCTCACCACACTAACCTTAATTATTTTACCCACTCCCTTAACTGACATTGGGATCCATGCATTAAAAAATCAGCAAAACTAACAAAAACCCATCTAAAAACAATCCAAAAAATCCCAAATATCAAGAAGTTTCAAGATGGAATCGTATGAGTTTGATTTCATAAAAGCTACCAAAACAAATTTTAAAAACAAAAGTATCCCAAAATCAGATATATCACGCAAAAATCTGACTGTGGAAAAGTATGAGGTAAACAATGAAAGAATGGTGAAATCTCCATATGTTGGGTAGGATTCATGTTCCCAACTAAGAGAACTCCTCATTTGAAGCACACATATTATCTTAGTTTATCAAAATATTCAATCTTGCAAATGTTATATGTTAGAATTTTAAGTGAATTTGTGTGTTTTCATATGAATTGAAAAAAGTCTGGTTCTTTAGACCCTTCTCATAGTGTGAGTTAGAGTGTGATTTTTGGGAGCTTCATTTAGCTTGAAGGATTGTATCAAGTTGGAGAAAATGGGTCCATGGCAAAGGCAGATTTAAGCAATCACGGATTCACTGTAGACCCATTTGGATGTTCTTCAAGCTTTTCCAAATAGTCCAATGGTGATTTTAGTTTTCCTTCAACTAAAATAAGGTTAGGCTGGTGAGGTGGCATGTGACGTGGCATCCACCTCACCCAAATGTCAACTCACGTGGAATTTTAATCTCTGAGTCATTGACACAGTAGACCTCCTTTGGAAATAGGAGTATATTTGATAACAATTGTAACAACAATGGTATTTTTGTTCCCAAAATATAACGAGAACAAATATAAACAATATTTAAAAGTAGATATATTTGACCATTTTTCCTTCTTTTATTGTTCTTTTACTCTCTTTTTTAATTTAGAGAAGAAGGTACACTGGTAAACTATTTTCTAGTGTTAACTTGTTGTGTAACTTGCTGTGTGTGGGTGTGTATTTTTTCATTTTATTTGACTTGTGATAGATGATCAGGAAACATAGATAAAGCATGTGAAGAACGTCTAATCCGTGAGATAGTGCTATCTACCAATTACTCCCCTCCGTCTAACATTACTTTTATTGCGGTAAAAGTTGCTCTTTTGACTAGTGGCAATCGGTCGGGTCGGGTAGAATATGTTACGAGTCGAAAAAGAATAATGTAAAAATAGATCATTTATCCGATCCAATTCGACCCATATTTAATTAAAAAAAATGGGTTAACTGGCGGATAATATGGATCCATGGTTTCTTGAAATGAAAATGATCATTTTTGAAAAAATTTCTTAGTCTCTCAAACTTGAGGAATCCTTAATTTGAAGCTTTACACTTGTAAAAGTTAAACGCATTAGTTATCCAATGGTTATTTATTTTCTAAGTGGATAATATGATTCATATTCATATTTGACCTATTTTTAAAAAGTTCATTATTCAACTAATTTTTAATGAATAATATGAGTGAATAACTATTTTTTTTAATCCATTTTTCCGCCGCTATCCTAAAATTGGATTCGATTCCCAAGTAGCTCGAGTTTGCTGACTTTTACTTGGGTTTCACTTAGAGATTTTTATTTTTTTTACTCGTTTTCGCTGATTTTTTCTTCTTTTTCTCCGGTGCAGATTCTTCTTTTATTCCTTTTTAATACTTTGGGTGTGTTTGGTACTGTTTACCGGGAAAATCAAATAAAGTTAAATTTGAATATGATTCTAAAGATATGTAATATAATTTGATACAAAACGTATAGAGAAATCGTAATATTTGCGTTCTTGATTATGAGAATGAGAATAGTGAGCAAGAAGAATGAGTAAGATAAAGTAAAATGAGCACAAGGGGATATCATTCAATATAGGAAGTGATCTTTTGTTACAGTGTGTAAGATGATCTTATGCTTACAAGGATTCCCCCTTTTATAGTAGAGGGATCCTACTTTATTCACAATTAAAAAAAAATATATAGTGGAGAACCCATGATAAATTGTCTCTTCCTCGATTCCCACCAAGATTCTCTCCCTTAGTGCGGTTGCAACGACTCTTGTCCGCGAGCTCGATACTGGCTCGAACTCGTTATTGGGTCGAGCCCTCAACTTTCGCTTGAGTTTGACCTTCGGGGTGGGTGTAGCGCATTTCCGACCACCCTCACGTTGCCTTGCGGATCGACTTGGTCGTGGGCTCGATAATAGTATCGAGCCGACTCCCCGATAAGTCTTTGGAACTTGATGCTCGTTTGTACTGTTTTCGGGACTCATCCCAAAATCCCACTCCGGTTGCTTACCATTCGGACTCGATCGAACGTAGGAAGGTCGAAATCTATTTCGACCGTATATAGATAGTCCCTTCGTTTCTCAAGAAGGATGTGGTGAGAGTCGATATGCTTTTCGACGGTTCAATCGGGTTATAAGCTGACGTTTTCACAGGGCTCGATCATGACGTATGTGATAGCTGTCCCATCGATTTAGTTTTTCAAGGTATTTAATGCATGTCAGATGGTGGTCGGCCACCGTTGATACTGAACCGTCACGATGTAAGCCTATAAATAACCCCTCCATCTAACATTTACCACTTTTACGTCTTCACTCTTCCAAATTTTCTTAGCCTCTCTCTATTTTGCCGCTTGCGGAGCCATCTACACCAGTGTTTGGTATCATCAACTTTTCATCTTCCTTTTCCTTTCTTCCTCTCATATTAATGGCCAAAACTTCGAAAACTGTACCTCAGAAGGAGAAAGCTTCTTCTTCAAGGCCGTTCGGCGACAAGGTGCCGGTGGAGCCGCCTACCTATGAGTATGTTCCCGGCCCGTGTACTCTGAAGATCGATTTTAAGGTCGAGAATCCTTCATCTGTTCCGGGTCGATGTGAGCATGTGTTGATATACATGTGCTCGATAACGAAGGGTCATCTCGAGGCTGTGAGGAAAGACTGCAACTGGAGTTTCGAGGTTGTGTTGCAGATTCCCTCTCCCGAAGAGAGCGTCATCACTCATGTGGAGGGGATTTTAAGTGTTTACACTTACCTCTTCACGTTGGGTCCCGTCGACCTGGTGATCATTGATTTTTACAAAAGATATCAGGTCACCCTTGGTCAAATTCATCCCTCTGTATGGCGTATAGTAACCTTACTTCGTTTCTTCTCCAACAAGGCAGGGGGCTGGATTTTTCCCTGAATCACCTCATACGATTGTATCGGCCTCAAATCTTTCGAGGACTAATCAGGCTTCATCGTCGGGCATCGAAGGCTTTGATGTCGAGCATCGACGAAGACAAGGATCGGGGTTGGATGGGCCGTTATATCCGAGTGAGGACCCATGACCTCATTCCAGAAGAGAAGATGTCGTTCCCCGAGGAATGGAATTTCGACCGTAAGTGGTTTTCATAAGAAGTTGCTTTTCGTATCTTTTTCCGATTTTATCTGATGTCTTTCTCCGATATACAGCTGTCCCTTGGATGCCACAAGGGTTACCTGGCCTCGAGGATTAGGTTTGGAAGTTAGTCTCGACTTCCTCTTATGCCGAACGCGCTTGGCGTGATTTGGCGAAAGGCAGATGGGAGGCCAAGAATCATGGTAGGGGTTACTGCTCGTGTTCTTTGAAATGTTTTTTTATACTCCATTCGTTACCGATTTCCTTTCATGCAGGTGTAACCAAGGATGTCATTTTGAGGCCTTCGAGTTGTGAGGAAGGAACCAAGTCCCTGGTCCCAGAACCGGGGAAAGATAAGAAGCGAAAAGCTGTCTCTCGGTCAGAGGACCCCAAGCCCAAAACTCGAAGGGTGAGGAGGAAGGCAATCGTTCTTCCAATGGACTCGGTCCAACGACTGAGAGAAGAAGAAGAAGAAGAAGATGCTTCGGCTTTGGTGATCCGATCTGCGTGAGCTATCGAGGTCGCGAGAGCTTCTGAGCCGATGGCGGCTATACCGGTCGGGGTCGGTTCTGGTATCCCGAGTCTCGATCAGAGCGTCCCGAGCGATTCGCTTGGGACCATGACAGTGGGTCATTTGCCTTCTCTTCCAACCTTTTCTGAGGAGGCGTTAAAGGAAGCTCGAGAATTGAAGACCCTCGATATGGGTGGAGGCTCTAGTGTAGGGGACCCTTTTCGGGATTGCTTTACTGGAGTCGATGATGCCTCCGACATTGGTGATGCTTCTAACCTCCTAGAAGAGGCCCAACGTTTCATTTCTCGGGTAATGATTTTACTGTACTTGATTTCTTCGTTCTTTTCCAAACTTGACTTGTGTTTTTTTCCCTACTGTACAGGCCATTAGCAGGTTTTGAGTCGACCTCAGCCAGTGTGAGGTCGAGCTTCAGAAGGTCTCGGGGGAGAGAGATGCCCTGCGGCTTCTTTGCAGCCAAAAGGACGAGGCTATAAAGGACCTCCAAGCAGATTTGGTTAAGGCTCGTGAAGAAGAGGCCGAACTAGATAAGCAGGTGAGCCTCGTTCTGTTAGAGTATGGGTTTGACTCAACTGTGGAAGTTAACCCTTCGTTATCTCAGCTGCAGCAAAAGGTTGAAAAGATCGTGTTACTTTGGGAAGAAGTCGATCAAATCAAGGCTGAATGTATCCAGTTGAAGGAGACTATCGACCGCCTGGCTACGGAAAAAGAAACTATCTTGGCCAAATTATTATCGGTCGATGTTCAGCTTCGAAGCGT